TCAACTCCGCTTTTTGGCAAAAAAACAACCTTGACCATTGTCATTATCTGTCCCCAGATCTTCACGATATGTTTATTAATGACATTGTACCTTTTAGACTTAAGTCGATTAGTATTCATCACATCCACATGAAATTACATTCATCACCTCATCCGAAACATTATTCTCTGTACCATTTATATATTAGAACCTTTTTGTTTGCTATGATATTTTCGGTGTCTGTTCGACTCATTAGTTTTGATTCTCCCTTTTGTATCATGCACCTCTTTTTTTTAATTCCTTTTCAAATTAATACGACCTTAAAACCAATATATCGGATATTCGCAATCACATATTTTTTAAACTTTTCTGAATTGGAGAAGATATAAGCGGGCTTTATGGCTACAGTAAAATCGATCTAGGAAATAAAGTATCGAAGAATTTCGCGTTTCTGAAAACAAACTTAAATTACTTTATTATGTTGATATGCAAGAAAAAATCTACACTTTATTCTTTCTTATTCGCCGCTTGACTTTTCAATAAATCTTATTCTGCAACATAACGAAACTATATATATATAGATATACGCGACCTAGTGAAATTTCCATATTTGACATTGGCAATCAATATTTCAATCCATCTGATCATTGAATATTTGTGCATAAGTTAAACCACTTGATCACCAATCATTACATTGTATTACCTCTCTGTAGATATGAACACAACTACTGTCTCGAGATTTAAAAACTGTGGCAACCTATGGTTGTAAGTTTAAAATTGGTGGGAAGGTATTCTTTATAGACGCTACAGTAGCTTGGTATATATTTTATTTTCAACTCCGCTTTTTGGCAAAAAAACAACCTTGACCATTGTCATTATCTGTCCCCAGATCTTCACGATATGTTTATTAATGACATTGTACCTTTTAGACTTAAGTCGATTAGTATTCATCACATCCACATGAAATTACATTCATCACCTCATCCGAAACATTATTCTTTGTACCATTTATATATTAGAACCTTTTTGTTTTCTATGATATTTTTTATGTCTGTTCGACTCATTAGTTTTGATTCCTCTTTTTGTATCATGCACCTCTTTTTTTAATTCCTTTTCAAATTAATACGACCTTAAAACCAATATATCGGATATTCGCCATCACATATTTTTTAAACTTTTCTGAATTGGAGAAGATATAAGCGAGAAATTTTTCTTTCTTAAATGTTTCCATGCAAATAAATGTCTTGAAGCTATCATTTTAGGCAATATCCTTCACTGTGAATAAGGAATGTCCTTAATACATCCTGACTTTATGATCCGTCTATCTAAAAAGTAAAATAAAAACAAAATACGAACTCCAAGGAAAATTCTAAAAAGAAAGTCTTTTATCAAATGGCAAAATCAAATGCTCAAACACATTAAACGAATGGAAAACAACACTGTCATATTCCTATCTTGGTACAGGCATTTACTTATGTAGAAAATGGTGGATTCTATAGCTAGCTAAACCTCTCACTTGTATGACAGTCGCATAAAATTCCATAATATTGATAACAATGTGTGAACAAAACAAACAGACATAATCTTCTTATTTTTATATATGATATATAGAAATGTCAAAATAGGGGTACAGCAGTCAACATTGTGTTATCATCTTAATCACTATAAAACAAACAACTATCTCAACAAAGACAAAATGGCATATAGACAAATTCCATAAGAAATATTTTAAAACAAGAATACAAAAAATGACCAGAGAACAATAACACATTGGCAGGATCTATACGTATCGAGTATCAATTCTAGTCCTATAGGTTGCACTTCTGTGAATATAGACAATGCAATTTCCCATAGGAACTCCTTTTACGGCTAGACTTTGACATTTTCACTATGAGGCATAGAAATACTATCTGGGAACCATTACGTAAACAAAACAAAATTTCTATGAATATTATATATCTCCCCAAAAGGGGCGTGGTTTGTGAAACAGCTGTATTTAAAAAGTGCAATCTATACTTACATTTATTCAAATAGAAAAATCTTTAAAACACTTTTTCTCACAACAATACTTATTTATCGGAATCAAAGTCTAAAAGAAATCACTGCATATGCTCTAACTTTTCTTTCACAGCACATTTAATACCCCCACCCCTGTTTTAATTTTTAAAGAATTTGAAAACAAGACTTTAATTATTGTCAGCTTACCGTATGTGCATGTTTTCTGACATAGAATGCCTAAAACATAATTATATGAAATTATTCTGATAACAAATTGACAACATTTTAAAATACTATAAATGTAAAGTTTAGTAGTCAATAATTCCAACATGCCAGATTATATAAATTATCCATTCCTGCCTCTGTCTCCAGTCGATATCTAACTTTATGCCAATTTATCTATAAAAGTTCGCAATTTCTGCCTCAAATGGTCAGTTTAGAAATCTTTTCACTGTATGATCTAGGAGTGAAAGATCTAAGATTCCAATGCTATCTTGCAAAGTTGATCATATGTGGATTTGTTTATTCAACTGCGCATACAAATCAAACACAGACACATGAGTCAAACTCCTAGATACAACCAGTATACACTTCACACATTCAAAGACCACATACTTAAAACGTTTCATATTGTTTGGTATGCATTAACAAATACAAAATTGACAATATCCTGTAGATTGTGACTACTAAATTTACATCACTAATTCCTGTACAGCTGAAACAAGAAGATTGATGAAAACGAGATACAGACTGTAAAACAAGATAAAAACAAGTCTGGAAATGACAACCCGAGAAACAAATACAAGCAAATTAAACATCAGGAACAAAAAACAACTCAAACAATCATACTGGCATTACACAGAAAATATTGTTCAACCAAAACCTGAGGAAAACAGCTTTTCTAAAATGAAAAATATTTGGTCTTATATTAAAACCAACACAAAACTGACTAAGGGGAAACTTGTAATAGACACATGCACAGAACAGAAATACAATGCTCTCAACAGGCAGATTCAATCAGTTTTATCAGAACCATAATCATTGCTATTGAATTTGAAAACAGTCAGTACATACAACAGAAAACAGTTTACCCTATCATTCAAAACATAAATATAACCATCCAAGGTATCTCCAAACTACTTTAAATTTAAATCTGTTAAAGGCAAGTGGACCCGATGAACTTTAACCACGCCTCCTTAGGGGATAGCACATGAAATATTACCTAATCTATGCCTTATACATGTTATATGCCAGAAATCATTAGACACTGGCGGAGTCCCCACTGACTAACGAAATGCACCTGTCTCCCTTTTTGCAACAAAGGATCCATATATAATTCAAAGAATTATAGACCTATTTCCTTAACATGCAAATGTTCCAAAATTATGGAACATGTTGCAGTTAGTTCGATCATGAGCGAGCAGACATCCATAACATCCTGTAGTCCCTGCGACACGGTTTTCGAAAAATAGATCAAGTGAAACTCAGTTTTTGGAATTCATAGATGATGTCACTAAAATATTGAAAATGCAAAACAAACTATTTTTGTTTTACATCAATGACATAAACGTTGGCTTAAATTCCAGCATATGCCTATTTATAAACAACACAATTACTTATCTGGTAATAAAATCTAACAGTGATTGCGAAACCATTCAAAACGATACACTAGGTATTTGGGAACACACTTGGATAATGGCTTTTCATCCTGACAAGTTAAATGTTCTTTCCATCTGCCGAAACATAAATCCATTCGTATACGCTCATTACACATTCTTGAACATGTTGACAAGGAAAAATACCTAGGCGTGACAATTCAGTCAGACCTAAAATGACACAGTCACATAAACATCTGTAATAAAACTAACAGCACACTAAGTTTTCTTAGAAGGAATCTTAACATCAATTCCACCTCCGTAAAGCAACAGGCATATAAATCTTTAGTCAGACCATCACTATAAAATGCCTGTACAATCCTTGACCCTTATTTTACTGAGGATATATACAAACTTGAAAAAGTACAAAGAATAGTTGTTAGATTTGTCAATAACCGACACAGAAACACCTTGCACACAGACAAACAGACGCACGCCTTGTCATGTTTTTATGACATTTCATATCAACTCATTGCAATCACAAAAAAGACAGACTAATACAACCGCTCATACAGTCCCAGAACATGAACACACTCTCATACCAAATTTCATGCTGCAGAAAACAAATACGTCAACTATCATGCTCCCACAAACGTTTAAAAACTGGAACAATCTTCCTCTGAGAATTGTGATGAGCAACTCTGTAGAGTCGTTCAAATCAGCTGTCTCAACCTAAACATACCGTCATTAAATTTATCATGTGTAAATCGTTTTATTGTAATGCAAAAAACGGAATAAAAATGTGCTCTGTGTAAATATATTATGTTTGCACTAAGCCATGCGTAGTACAAGTAGCATAATCTTCAACGTGTTGAAGCCGGTCAATACAAAGTAGAAGGTCAATTAAAGGCAGTATAGCAACACGTACATGTATACACCAATGTGTAATCACCAATGAACGACGGGTTATTTTCTTTAATTTAAAGATTTTGATATTACGACCTGAACGTATTATGCTTTGAAATTTTGTTGTACTGTTCTTTTTAGCATATTTTGAGTATGTATATTCTGAATAAGACTTACGTTTTATCTATCCACAGGGCGATTAACACATTTTATGAAGGTTTCATTTATACTTTTATACAATTTGTTCGTTTTTAGATCCTTCTTTTTTATGTATGTGTGTGTCATTATATTTTATGCCAAACAAATCAGTATTTTTATATCTATATTGTATGACAAAATATCCTGTATATGTTGCTCTTCCTCATGTACATGTATTATGTTTATAATTTAATTCAATTTAAATTAATCTAAGAGCTATGAGAACCTCTTTCAAATTATTCTGGCATACTTCATGAATAACAAAAAATGTTAAACTTTACTTGTTTCATGCTTATAGCTTTACATTTTTCTTTTTCCTCAGAAGAACTTCAAACTCAAATCACAGAAAACAATTCTTCTTCTTTTGAAATGACTGTGGCAATGAACAAGACATCACAAAATACAGGTACGATAACAAATTATTCTCAATAGAAAAAAAAAACATATGATGTATTTAAGAATTATCATTCAAACATCAAAACATCAGATCATCAATTCCTTTAGGTAAGCTAATTACAAAAAGTTTGCTAAAAAGAGTAACGTATGAAAGACAAAAACTGAAAAGGCCAAAAGAGAACAGCCAAATTTGGCTAAGGTTAAATTTGCATGAGAATGTGGTAGTGATAAAATTTGTGTACTGGAAATATGAGGAAAAAAGTATTATAAGAAATATTGCAACAACCGGAGGACTGGCTATTTGGCGGATGGTATCCTCGGGGAACTGTCCGACAGCGGTACCGATCCAAAAGTAGTAAAAAACACAAACACCACACAGTCAGAAACAAATTAGTAAATACTATGGCCGACACACCCATACATAATCACCAGACAGACATGGTAATCAGTCTTGAAAAAAAAAAAACATAGTCAATGTATTAGTGAAAATTGGGGTTTGGACTTATTCCAGCTTTCATCAACTACGTGTTCTCTTTGATCGGTAGTTTGTTTCTAATTGTATTATGGTTAGTAACGGTTAGGTGAGTCAAATAATTTCCAACTTATGTTTACAATTAATTCGTCTATACAACTGTAATAAATGATACGATTTTCCGGAGTTTACATTTCTTATCATGATTTGCTTGATAGAGGTTTGCTTCTAACAATGAAGCTATCAAACCAAGAGTTCCGAGTGGTGAAGTTGAAATTATCTCTTCGAAATTTTACGGACGCCATCAAGAATTGGTTGACCGTAATGGAATATCTGTTTCACAGATGACGACGCATATGTTTCAATTGTCTTAACCACAATACCGTCCTCTTATACGCAAATGCGACCTGCCAAATTAGACTTATCACCGGGTTTGTACTTACATGAGCAACACGAAAGGTGTCACATGTGGAGCAGGATCTGATTACTCTTCCGGAGCACCTGTGATCACCCCGTTTAGTTTTCTATGTTGGTTTTTGTATACTGTTGTTTGTCTTTTTGGTCGTGTTAAGTTTTTTGCCATGGTATTGTCAGAATGTTTTTGAGATATAAGTTGCATATCCCCTTGGTATCCTTTGCCTCTCCTTTATAGGTTTAAGACACGATTGAACGATCGAAAACATGTTAACCACGCCATATCCTTCATGTGATTGTCGCAAGTCAAAAGTCTGTTATTCAGTGGTTGTCCATTGTTGCTAACTGCCATAATCGTAATTTCTTTATCATTTTAGCATTACCTTCGGTTAATTTTGCAGTATTCATATCTTTTTTTGTTTCAGTGGACGTACAAACAGGAAATGAAGGCACAAAGAATGAATCTTTTTCATTGTTTTCTCCTAATGTAGAAGACACTGTGACAATAAACACGAAGTCGCCAGGTAAAGATAGCATTATATGAAGTTTGTTCGGAAAGTATTTAATGTAAACACATTCTAAATTCGTTATTCTGTCACTTAATATTTCTACCATAGAGTCATCGAGTATCACTAACTCGGTGCTTTTGTACTAACATGGTAATATTTTCTTTTTGAAATTTCAGTTGAAAAATATGTTAAATCCTAAGTACATCCTTTTCTTTAGCTGTTTTTTGTGTCCTTTATGGTGTTGTTTTTGGTTTATTGCTCTTCAACTTTGTCTACTTCTAGATTAACTATATTCGGTTTCGAGCCCAACCTGATCAGAAACCAATTTTTATCCCCAGTTTCGTGTGGGGTTCGTGTTGCTCATTCTTTAGTTTTTCTATTTTGTGTTTTGTGTACCATTGTTTGTATGCTGGTCTTTTTCTTTTTTAGCCATGGCGTTGTCAGTTTTATTCGACTTAAGAAATTGAATGTCCCTTTGGTATCTTTCGCCTCTCATTTCGAAATGCGCACATGTGCCTGAAATTAAATTCGACATCTTCTAATTTCGTATTACAATTCTGTCTGTGATATTATTGAATGTCAGAACAGCACCGTGAATTATATTTTGACTTTCATTCAGAGTCGCGTTTGTAGCTAAGTATACATAATATGTGTTTTGAGAGGTTACTATTATTAGATACGTTGATGTTTTGATTGGGTATTCAACAGTCATCAGTGATCAGGCATGCTGTTTCATTGTATTTTTGAGAAATTGTATTTTTTACCGATTAACATATTTACCTGACTAGTTTTTGGAGTATTGTTTCGTGTTAATCTGTTGAATTAAAATTTAATGTTAAATATATTCCGTTATTGGGCTTTTTAGAATCACTGTGCACGAAATTAAATTCGTAATTTGTGTTATGTTTATGTAATGTTGTATTTTTTCTGCTTTAGCAATGGGAATTACAACCATTGACTACAGCAATTCAAATCATATTGTTACGCCCCGCTGTAGTACGAGTGGTGTTAATATAATGGAATTTTATGTGACTGTCATACAAGTGAGAGGTTTAGCTAGCTATAAAACCAGGTTAAATCCACCATTTTCTACATAAGAAAATGCCTGTACCAAGTCAGGAATATGACAGTTGTTTGTTATCCATTCGTTTGATGTGTTTGAGCTTTTGATTTTGCCATTTGATTGGGGAATTTCCTTTTTTAATTTTCCTCGGAGTTCAGTATTTTTGTGATTTTACTTTTTACCATGCATAATAACGCCATAGGGATAAACACAATGTAGAAATCAGTAAAGAATGCTGTTACTACGCATACACACATCACAAAAAAAACACACCATGCATCATTCAGTAAAGAGTGTTGTTACTATTCATGCACACACCTTAGAGATACACAACATGCAGTCAAATACCAGTAAGTCACCATCAAGTAAAGAGTGTTGGTACCACGCATGGACACACAATAGAGATACACAACATGCAGTCAAACACCAGTAAGTCACCACCAAGTAAAGAGTGTTGGTACTATTCATAGACACACCATAGAGATACACATCATGCCGTCAAACACCAGTAAGTCACCACCAAGTAAAGAGTGTTGGTACCACGCATAGACACACCATAGAGATACGCATCATGCAATCAAATACCAGTAAGTCACCACCAAGTAAAGAGTGTTGGTACCACGCATAGACACACCATAGAGATACACATCATGCAGTCAACTACCAGTAAGTCACCACCAAGTAAAGAGTATTGGTACCACGCATAGACACACCATGGTGATACACATCATGCCGTCAAACACCAGTACGTCAGCACCAAGTAAAGAGTGTTGGTACCACGCATAGACACACCATAGAGATACACATCGTGCAGTTAAACACCAGTAAATTACCACCAAGTAAAGAGTGTTGGTATTACGCAAAGATACACCTTAGAGATACATATTATGTCGTCAAACACCAGTAAGTCACCACCAAGTAAAGAGTGTTTGAACCACGCATAGACACACCATAGAGATACACACCATGCAGTTGAACACCAGTAAGTCACCACCAAGTGTAAAGAGTGTTGATACCACGCATAGACACACCATAGAGATACACATCTTGCCGTCAAACACCAGTAAGTCACCACCAAGTAAATAGTGTTGGTACCACGCATAGACACACCATAGAGATACACAACATGCAATCAAATACCAGTAAGTCACCACCAAGTAAAGAGTGTTGGTACCACGCATAGACACACCATAGAGATACACAACATGCAGTTAAACACCAGTAAGTCACCAACAGGTAAAGAGTGTTAGAATAGAGATACACATCATGCCGTCAAACACCAGTAAGTCATCACCAAGTAAAGAGTGTTGGTACTACGCATAGACACACCATAGAGATACACATCATGCAGTCAAACACCAGTTAGTCACCACCAAGTAAAGAGTGTTGGTACCGGTAAGTCACCATCTTGTAAACTGGGGCTACAACAAAATTTAATTAAACAGACAACGCCCAGAAAATGGAGGTATAACTATTTCAGTGCATCGATGAGTTAACATCTATGTTCATTCTTAAACATTTTTTTAAATATGTTTATTCTGAATAAACTCGGGATGGTTAAATCATAGTATATACAGTTCGCCTTTTATATTAGACGACATTCCTCTTACCTCATGTGTGTGTTTGTGTTTGTGTCAAAAATATTTTCTTGGTAGAGACGACACGGAAGGTTATGAGAAGAAATGAAAGCAAAGAAAAATATTCTTTTTCATTGGTTTCTCAGCAAATGAATGAAACTATAAATTTGAACATGACATTGTCAGGAAAAGGTATGATAAAATAATGGTTACTGTTATTATGAAATATGTCTTGTTTTGATTATTCGGATTACACCTAAACATCAGGTACACACATTTTGGTGGTGAAGTCTATAGCATAATTTACCCGTTTGTAATCTTGCAACGAATTTAATATACCACAAAAAATGGTTGCACATTCCGTAACGGTACGTGCAGACTTATCAGTATTGATAGATATTCTGCCTTTTCATGTTAGGGTCAATATGGGCAATTAAATTCAGTTAGGCGATAATGGTATCAGTTTCTCTGCAAATGTATGGTAGCTCTTACCGAAACTGAGACATTTATTCATGTATGTTTTTTTTTTTCAGGTGGGCAATTGCAATTCATTTTCCCGTAAAATCCCTAACAGTGAAAAGTAATGAATAATGTAACTTTCAGAACATTTCCTCCATAAATCTGATCACTTTATAAAAACAAAACTATTTCCACGGTTTATTTTTTAAGCTCAAATCTACATATTTATTTTCATATCACATAAGCTCGATACACCAGCTTTCCAGCTCAAGTATATCAATTTTTTAAATCAAAGTATCAACAATAAGTGTATGGCGGTCTTATCTTTTCCCTATTTATAAAGTTGAGATCCTCATCCCCAGGTCCATTAGGGATATTGAGTCATACACATTGCCGAAAATATTCTACGAAATGTTATACCAATCTGAAATAAATTAAGCTCATATTTTAAAGCGACCATGCTTCTTACTGTTCAATATCTCTTTTATAGGAAAAAGAAAGCACAAACACCATATGTTACCAACTGACATTTTAAAAAGTAACTGTTAATTTTTATAGCTGACTTTGTCATTCATATAGCTGCATTATTATACTAACTTTAAAGAAATCATAATTTTTCCTTGATAAATTATGAAAAAAATATAAAAGACAACACCAGATTTAAGGAATGTTTTACTCTAAATGTTTTCTTTCCTTTCAAGGGAAACATCGATATGATTCTATTACGGTACAGATCATCAACGGACTTTTCTTATTTATTTTTTTTTTATATCCGCCAATTAATAACCATTTTAGGGTACTTTTAATGAACTGGTAACCAAGCATATCATCGTGTTATTAATGCTTAGCAACAAATCAGATTAAAAAAAATATCAGTAGTGTTGCATCATGTACAGCTATATCTAAAAAGGTTATAATGGTTTTTAATTTTAGTTCATTTATATGTTTTGGAGTTTAGTATGACATCCATTTTCACTGAACTAGTACACATTTATGTTTAGGGGCAACCTCAAGCCCGCCTCCAGGTGTGGGATTTTCACGCTGTGTTGAAGACCCATTGGTGGTATTCGGCTGTTTTATGCTCTTTGGTCGGGTTGTTGTCTCTTTGACACATACCCCATTTCCATTCTCAATTTTATAAAAACTTTACAGTTACAATTACCATCCGCATGACCTTAACATAAATTCCTTATTCAACACAAATATGACACCTTAAACCACCATAAAATATGTCTGGTTACCTCATTTAACAGAAAAGGAGTTCAAATTGTATTTCAAGGAAAGTTATGATAAGTTGTAACACAAAATGACAAATGTTCTACTACGGTCATATTACATGTTGACAAGGAAAAATACCTAGGCTTGACAATTCAGTCAGACATAAAATGGTACAGTCTCATAAACAACATCTGTAATAAGGCTAAAAGTACACTAGCTTTTCTCAGAAGGAATCTTAAAATCAATTCCAAACTCCGTAACGGAACTGGCATTTACATTTTTAGTCAGACCATCACTATAATATGCCTGTTCAGTCTGGGACTATTACTTTACTGATGATATAAACAAAATAGAAAGAGTACACAGAAACACATCAAGTATTAGTGACATGATAAATCACCTAAAATAAAGAGACCTTGCACACAGAAGAACAGACGCATGCCTTGTCATGTTTTATAAAATATCATATCAACTCATTGCAATCACAAAATAGACAGACCAATGCAACCGCTCAGATAATCCCGGAACATGCACACACGTGTACTCTCATACAAAATGCAGAAAAACAAATACGTCAATAATAATTTTTCAACGTACGTACGGTAAAAACCTGGAACAGCCTTTATCTGGTCAATGTGATGAGCGATTCTCTAGAGTCGTTCAAAAACAGTTGTCTCGACCTACACCTACAGTCAATAAATTTATCATGTGTAAATAGTTTTATCCTAACATAAAAAAAAAAATGTGCACTATGTAAAAATGTTCGAAGGCCGTACTTTTACCTATAATTGTTTACTTTTAACACATTGTGACTTGGATGGAGAGTTGTCTTATTTGCACTCATACCACATCTTCTTATTTATATTTATAGAATTAAGTTTGTTAATAATTCAAAAATTATTAAATTTTAATGTATATATACGTTTGCAATAAGCCATGCGTAGTACAAGTGACATAAACTTCAACGTGTTGAAGGCGGTCAATTCAAAGAAGACGGTCCATTAAAGGCAATGTAACCACACATATACACCAATGTGTCTTCAGCAATGAACGACGTGTTATTTTCTTCGGTTCAAAGATTTTGATATCACGACCTAAACGTATTCCGATTTAAACTTTTGTTGTACTTTTGCATTTTTATCCTCTTTCTTTTTAGCATATTTTGAGTATGTATATTTTGAATAAAACTTACGTTTCATCTATCCACAGGGCGATTAACACATTTTATGAAGGTTTCATTTATACTTTTATACAATTTGTTCGTTTTAAGATATTTCCTTTTTATGTATGTGTGTGTCATAATATTTTATGCCAAAAAAAATCAGTATTTTTATATTTTTATTATATGTCAAAATATCCTGTATATGTTGTTCTTCCTCATGTACATGTTTATATTTATAATCTAATTTAATTTAAATTAATCTAAGAGTTATCAGAACCTCTTTCAAATTATTCTGGCATACTTCATGAAATCAAAAAATGTTAAACTTTACTTTTTTCATGCTTATAGCTTTACATTTTTATTAAAATTTTCTTTTTCCTCAGAAGAAGTTCAAAATCAAATCACAGAAAACAATCCGTCTTCTTTTGAAATGACTGGGGCAATGAACAAGACATCTCAAAAAACAGGTACGATAACAAATTATTCTTAATAGAAAAATACATATGATGTATTCAAGATAAGAATTACATTCAAACATCACAACATCAGATCATCAATTCCTTTAGGTACGCTAATAACAACAAGTTTGGAAAAAAGAGTAACGTTTGAGAGACAACAACTGAAAGTGGCAAACGAGAACAGTCAAATCTAGCTGAGGTTACTTTGCATGAGAATGTGGTAATGATAAAATGTGTGTACTAGAAATATGAGGACAAAAAAAGTATTATAAGAAATATTGCAACAACCTTAGGACTGGCTATTTGGCGGAAAGTATTCTCGGGGAACTGTCCACCAGCGGTACCGATCCAAAAGTAGTAAAAAACACAAACACCACACAGTCAGAAATAAATAAGTAAATAATATGGCCGCCACACCCATACATAATCAACAGACAGACATGGTAATAAGTCTGAAAAAAACATAGTAAATGTATTAGTTAAAATTGGGGTTTAAACTTTGTCTAGTTTTCATCAACTACGTGTTCTCTTTGATCGGTAGTTTGTTTCTCATTGTATTATGGTTAGTAATGGTTTTGGTGAATCAAACAATTTCCAACTGATATTTACAATTTATTCTTCTATACAACTGTTATAGTTGATACGATATTCTGGGGTTCGCATTTCTTATCATGATTTGCTTGATAGAGGTTTGCTGCTCGCAAGGAAGCTATTAAACTAAGAGTTCCGAGTGGTGAAGTTGAAATCATCCCTTCGAAATTTTACGGACGCTATCACGATTGGTTGTCCGTAATGGAATATCTGTTTCACAGATGACGACGCATAGGTTCCAATTGTCGTAACCAAAATACCGTCCTCTTATCAGCGAAATCGACCTACCGAATTAGACTTATCACCGGGTTTGTACTTACATGAGCAACACGAAAGGTGTCACATGTGAAGCAGGATCTGATTTATCTTCCGGAGCACCTGTGATCAACCCCGTTTAGTTTTCTATGTTGGTTTTTTGTATACTGTTGTTTGTCATTTTGATCATGTTTCGTTTTTTGCAATGGTATTGTCAGAATGTTTTTGAGTTATAAGTTGCATATCCCCTTGGTATCCTTCGCCTCTTCCTTAAAGGTTTAGGACACGATTGAGCGATCGAAAACATGTTAACCACGCCATATCCTTCATGTGATTGTCGCAAGTCAAAAGTCTGTTATCCAGTGGTTGTCCCTTGTTGCTAACTGCCATAAGCATAATTTCTTTATGATTTTATTATTAAATGCGGTTAATTGTGCAGTATTCATATCTTTTTTTTCAGTGGACGTACAAAGAGGAAATAAAGGCACAAAGTTTGAGTCTTTTTCATTGTTTTCTCCCAATGTAGAAGACACTGTGACAATAAAGACGATGCCGCCAGGTAATGATAGCGTGATATGAATTTTGTTCGGGAAGTATCTAATGGATACACATTCTAAATTCGTTATCTTGTTACTTAATATTTCTACCATAGAGTCACCAAGTATCACTAATTCGGTGCTTTTGTACTAGCATGGTAATATTTTCTTTTTGAAATTTTCAGTTGAAAATATGTTAAAGCCTAAGTACATCCTTTTCTTTAACTGTTTTTTGTATCCTTAATGGTGTTGTTTTTGGTTTATTCTCTTCAACTTTGCCTACTTTCAGATTTACTATATTCGGTTTCGAGCCCAACCTGATCAGAAATTAATTTTCACCCCCAGATTTTGGTGGGGTTCGTGTTGCTCAGTCTTTAGTTTATCTATGTTGTGTTTTGTGTACTATTGTTTGTCTATTGGTCTTTTCTTTTTTAGCCATGGCGTTGTCAGTTTATTTTCGACTTAAGAGTTTGAATGTCCCTTTGGTATCTTTCGCCTCTCTTTTTGGAAATGCGCACATGTGTCTGAAGTTAAATTCGACATCTTCTAATTTCGTATTACAATACTGTCTGTGATAATATTCAATGTCAGAACAGCATCGTGTATGATATTTTGACTTTCATTCAGAGTCGCGTTTGTAGCTTAGTATACATGATATGTGTTTGAGAGGTTACTATGATTAGATACGTTGATGTTTTGATTGTGTATTCAACAGTCTTCAGTGATCAGGCATGCATTTCATTGTATTTTTGAGAAATTGTATTTTGTACCGATTAACATATTTACCTGACCAGTTTTTGGAGTATTTTTTCGTGTTAATTTGTTGAATTAACCTTCAACGTTAAATATATTCCGTTATTGGGGTTTCTAGAATCACTGTGCAAGAAATTAAATTCGTAATTTGTGTTATGTTCATGTAATACTGTATTTTTTCTGCTCTAGCAATGGGTATTACAACCATTGACCACAGCAGTTCAAATCATATTTTTACGCCCAAATAGAGTCATATTTAAAGGTTAACATGCGGCCTTATTTCGTTTGTGCTTTCGGCACCAATCATGTTATGTTTTTTTAAAACCTTTTTTTCAAATTCAAATCGAACATCTCGATATTTTACTGCCTTTTTGTATTATAGTTAGTCATCACGTCGTATTCAAGTATTAATATTTACTAAGTATTATTATTTTAAGTCTGCACAAAAAACAACCCAAACCTAATGTGTTGATACAGTTATAATGGTCATCATTGCATATTAATCTTAATAGCACTACATTAACCTTCCTTGCTATCCAACAACTTTGCATTGACCGTTCAAAAATTATTTTTTATTCGAAATATAATGTGTTTTTAAACGGAATATACACGTGTAGTTGTTGACATTTTTGCTATTTGAATTTAATTAAAAAAATTCGGTATTGGATCTTGGCAAAACTCAAAAGATGAGTATGTTTAAATGCGTTAACGTCTAACATTTTTAACAATAAAGATTGCAGTAAATGGAATAAAATGGATAGGGATATATGTAATCTCTGTATATAGCACTTTATTGCAAATTTGATATCATGTATTATTATCTGTTTAGGGTACCCTTAATCAAAAGATTTAAATGTCCTTGAGGGAGAAGAAAACTCGGGTGAAATGGGTGTAAAAATAAGAAGATGTGGTATGAACGCCAATAAGACAACTCTCCACCAGAGACAAAATGACAAAGACGTTAACAACTTAAGGTCACCACACTGTCCTCAACATATGAGCAAAACCCATACCGTATAGTCAGCTGTAAAAATAAAACCCGAAATGACAAATGTAATACAATTCAAACGAGAAATGTCCTGATTTATGTACAAAACAACGAACAAAAACAAATATGATATACAGCAACAAACGACAACCACTTAACAACATGCACAGGCTCTTGACTTGGGACAGGCACATACTCTCTCTGATGTTCACATTATTGTAATTCCTTGACGATCGGTAAAAACACGGTATATAACCCTTTACTTTAAAATCTAATATTCTTTAATATTATATGTGTAGTGTACTCCGGTTCAAAAGAGTTAAACAGCACCGAAGATGAAGAATTCTCAGGTGATTTTGGTATGTTTAATCTCGTTTTTTTTTATATTAGTATGTTAAATCTCGTTTAATTTTTGATAATGGTATGTTAAATCTCGTTTATTTTTTGATATTGGTATGTAAAATCTCGTTTGCTTTCATTTGTTTCACTAAGTCTAAAACATTCCTTCAGAATATCCCGTTTTATGACCTTTAAACGTCTTTAGAGATTTGTTCGGACCAACACATTGAATCCGGAATCTCTAACGATGCCATAATGTATTCATGGAACAATATCATTTGTCCCGACGTTATCACGACAAGCTTCTAGAAAACACAAATTGATTATTAGATTAACATTTGGTAAGTTTTATATAATATAAAGAAATTGAACATGCCCCTTGGCTGCTCTCACTCGTAAAATGCCTTATTTTTGTGACTCTTACTTATATTTTTCGTTATTATATTTCCATTTTCTATATCATTCTGCACTGTATTTCAAAAAGTGACGTATATCGGTTTTATGACCGCCGTAAAAGACGAAAAACAAACGAAGTCTGACAAGGAGATTTCATTGACGTTATCAAGCTTTATCCAAAGATATTGAGTGTTACACGAAGATTTCATTGACGTTATAAAGTTTTGGCCGACGATATCAAGTGTGACATGGAGATATCATTGACGTTATAAAGCTTTGGCCGACGATATCGAGTGTTACACGGATATATCATTGACTTTATAAAGCTTTGGTCGACGATATCAAGTATGACACGGAAACATCATTGACGTTATAAAGATTTGGCTGACGATATCAAGTCTGACACTGAGATATCGTTGGCGTTATAAAGCTTTGTCCGACGATACCAAGTCTGACACGGAGATATCATTGACGTGAAGCTTTGGCCGACGACATCAAGTGTGACACGGAGATATCATTGACGTAATAAAGCTGTGGCTGACAATATCAAGTGTCACACGGAGATATCCTTGACGTAATAAAGCTTTGACCGACGATATCAAGTTTGACACGGAGATATCGTTGGCGTTATAAGGCTTTGTCCGACGATATTATATTCTTTTTGGTTCGAACGCTGTGCTCACTTGCCAATATGGCTTTATATTGTGACTCATTGTTAATATTTTAACAACATCTACATCTGATAATGTATCCATATAAAAAAAAAGATGTGGCATTATAGAGACGCTTTTTCTCTCTATATACGAAAAATTTTTATGCTTCAAGTTGATTATCGTGTAATCGTTCCTGCTGTTGATATCGTTACAAAAAGCGTAAGTTCAACATAATATATACTTAATCTTTATGGTAATCCTTACTACATTCGAATTTAGGTGTGCTGCTGCCAACTTGCCCGCGATTTTGTGGGCGTAATGGGATAATATTTGTTATAGGAATATGAAATCTTAATCAAAGTAAATCATTTGTAAAAAATACAATTATTATCATTATAGAATCATCAGGATCAAAAAAGTTAAATATGACTGTAAAAGAAGATAATTTTGAGGATATGGACATGTTTGTTGAGATTAGTTGAAATATTTAAAAAGTATTTTTTCCTCTGCAAAAGCAAATATTTTACTGCATTTTGAAATACTATAAGTAAAATCCATTTGAAGGCAAAAAGGTAAAATAACAAAGATACCGAACTCCAAGGGAAATTCAAAACGGAAAGTTCTTTATAAATTGGCAAAATCAAAAGCTCAAACACATCTAACGAATAGAAAACAACTGTCATATTCCTGACTTGGTACAGGCATTTTCTTATGTAGAACATTGTGAATAAAACTAGGTTTTATAGCTAGCTTAGCCTCTCACTTATATGACAGTCGCATATAATTCCATTATATTGACAACAATGTGTGAGCAAAACTAACAGATATAATAGGTTAAAATGTAAAAAATTGGGGTACAGCAGTCAACATTGTAATATTATTTTAATCACTATAAAAACAAATAACTGTTCCAACAAAGAAACACAAAATGGCATATAGACAAATTAAAGTACATAAGCAAAAATGAAAAACAAGAACTCAAAATTGACCATAGCACAATGGCGGGATGTATAAGTACCGATCCACGTCATAAATATATAATAAAAAATGGATAAACAGTAAATGTTAAAAATATACAAGGACAACAATGGGGAACTTTAACACGCAAACAAATGTAAACGTATCAGAGCATAACACAAAAAAAATCAATAATGCTCTCTTCGCCTGAAATAGATGCAATCTTAGTTTTAGTATAATTATATGATTTTATACTAGATATTCAATTCATGCAAATTTCAAAGCACTGGTTAGGATGCGTATACTTCCTGCGGGTACTTTTAGTCCTCCAGAAGCGGTACAAAGTGGGGCAATAAAAACACTTATGATACTTATGCCCGTGTGCACGACACGTATTTCTAGAAAAATCGTCAGGTACGCTGAATACAAAAAAGTAACGTTTGAGAGAAAAAATCTAAAAGGTCCTAAAAAGAACAGTTAAATCCGGCTGAAGTTGAATTTGCATGATAAGGTGAGAGTATAATTGTAAATGTGTGTACTGGAAATGTATAGACAAAAATGTCTTATTTGTATATTGCCAGAACCGAAGCTATTAAGTGGATGGTATCCTCTGGGAGGTGTCCACCAGAGATACCAATCTAGTAGTACTAAAAAAGGGCCACATTTTCATTGTTCAGTTGTTGTGCAGTATGCGTACAAACAGACAGAGAAGCACGCATTATCTAGTTGATATCAGTGTAACCATGCGTACACATATCGACATAAGGACAGGAAGTAGACACTATGCAGCAAAGACTATTGCAACAACGCTCAAAAACACAAATTAAACAGATACCAATCGATTATTATTGGCGCAAACATATCTTCACCTACAAAAAGAGGCGGAAGCTACGAAAGGGACATTCAAAACTCAGAAGTCGAAGAGAAACTGACAACCCCATGGCAAAAAAACGAAAAACGACGAAAAGACAAACAACAGTCAACACTACATAAAAACTAAAAAAAAAACTGAGCAACACGAATACCGCCCAAAATGTTAACCTGGGCTGATCTCAGTTGTTCAGGAAGGGCAAGCAGATCCTTTTCCACATATGGCACCCATCGTGTTGCTCAAAGTAAGTAGAAATTTTGGTTATAAGTCTCTGGAATATCGTATCATGGATATATAGTCCATATGTAGGCGCTGCTGGAATATTACTACATAGAAATGGAAATTCCCAATTGTGAAGCTGAAATCATCCCTTTTGTCGTACAGTTTTGTTCTCACCTGACCGTCATTGTCTGTTTCTTCTACATGTAGGTATTATATACACCTATGATTGCGTTAGTCCGATTTGGTGTATCTAATTTACACCAAGATATTATTGTCAATGCAGAATGATATTTTTCAATAATTTAGGGGGTCTTTCAGCGATTTGACCATATGTTATTGAAAAGCATGATACATGTAGGGTATCCAATTTCTTTAAACGATATCTTGGTGTAGGCAAGATTTGAGGCAGATTTAACTGTATCTGTGATATCCTTAATTTCTAGTTCGATGGGATAGATACGTTCAACATAGTCACTAAACTTTGAATTATTCAATAAAAGGACATCATCTATAAAGCGGAACGTGAAGTTAAAGGATAATGCTAGTTTCTTTTTATTCTTGATGAGAATCTCCTGCATGAAGTCTACTTTATATATATATCAAGGCACAAGTCGTCAAAAAGAGGAGCACAGTTGGTTTTAATAGGAATGCCGATAGTTTGTTCCAAAATATGTCCTCCAAACGTTACCAAAATGTTGTCAATAAAAACAATCGATATATAGTCAATCCTGTATTAAGCTGTCACTCATAGAAAGTATCAAAAGTGATCGCTCAAGAGGGTGGTTCCGAAACAATTCCGACATCGCACATGGCCGGGACTGGGGCAAATTGTTTAAGTGTTTTCAATCTGATGAGTTATCGTTCGTGTGCAAGACGAGTTTAAAATGACAATTCCGGCGCTCTAAATTTGAAGAAAAACATTCAAAATAGTAAATAGTCGATGATACGGTCGCGGGTTTAAATGGAAACTGAAAGAAGTGGAACACGAGAAATTCACAATTTCACCTCTTATTGCACCATCTTAAACTGGCTATTATTCTCATTCTGACCTCAATACTGAACATATGTTTTTTCGTCATGATTATAATATGGTTGTAAAAAAACATAAAAATGACGTTGTTAAAAGTTGAAATGACGATTTCGTGCGAAAATTAGATAACTGCAGACCACGTTAGACAGGAGACCGATGAAAAGAGTTACATTATATAGAGTAAAAGTTTAAGAGAGTCTGAAAGTGACCTATAGATGCAGGTGACCGCTGAAACGAGATGACCGTTAAAGCAGGGTGACTGTATATATATATATATATATATATATAAATATCAGCACAACAATGTTAAATCTGCAAATTTGCGGAAGCATACTTCATATGCAGGCATTGCTGGTATGTTGCAACACAGAAATGAAAAGTTCACACTGGGAAAATTGAAATCATCTGTTTTGTTAATCTCTCAACCGTTCCGTAAATTTCTGGATATAAGTCAAGGTATGAGGAAGACTGAACTTTATCTGTGCTTTCTTTTATTTCAAGTTCAATGGGATACAACATAGTCACTAAATTTCGAATTATTGAGTGAGAAGTCATCATCTTTATAGCGAAATGTGAAGTTTAAGGATAATGCTTGCTATTTGTTATTCTTTCTAAGAAGCTCCTGTATGAAGTCTGCCTCATATGAATAAAGGAACAAGTCGACAAGAAGAGGGGCACAATTTCGTTTCCAAATGGATGCCGATTGTCTTTTGAAAAAAACGTCTTCCAAACATAACAAATATGTTGTCAATAAAAGAAATCAGGCATCTGGATGATTTCAGTTTCGGAGAATTCCTTTTTACAATCAGAGTAATGTTTTTTACAGATGATTTATATCTTCCTTAAACAAGATATTTGTATCAACGTTGGACATTCTTTTTATGAAACAAAGTTGGACTAATTATTTCAATCTGTCTTGAAGTTTAGCATGGGGGATACTGGTATAAAGGGAAGAGAGATGTTATTTTTTTGGTATCCACATTTGATTCACTCCGCCCCTAGAGTAGGTAGTTTTACAGTATCTCTGAAGCTCCGATTTCATTGGTGACAAAATGGATGAAATACAAAGAGTCATTGTAACAACAAGTGGGAACACAAAACGGCTACCATTTAAAAAATGCGTAATATCCAGATGTACAAACACAAGTTCGAAATACAAAACAAGTGGTATATGCAATAAAGTAAAAGAGAATGGTAACCCAGGCAGCTTGAATCACACACAGAAATACATCATCAAATAAATAGTTTAGTACGCACAGTCACACAAATTACACAGAACCAATCGAGGAGATCATGCGGTCTCAACAAAGTCAAACGCCGTAAACAGTGGCTAAAGTATACACACCATATAGGCAGCATCGTGCTTATCATGTTGTTAAACCACGCAAAAAACAACATACAGACACAATCAGGGATATAGTGTAAAAACACACGTACAAACACTACGCAGTCAGAAACAATTTAGTAAATAGTGTGACCTCCACACCAACACAAAATATTAATCACTCGTACAATCACCGGATAAACATGGTTAACAGTCTGGGAAAATACTGTTAATGTATTTGATAAAATTCGGGCTTGAACTTTGTCTAGCTTTCAGTAACTGCAAGCAGTCTTCGATCGGTAGGTTTTTTTTTATTTGTTGGTTGTATCGTACTTAGTACCGGTTTGATGAGTCAAACCCTTTCCAAAAGATTTTTAGGATTTGTTCTTCTATTTTGCAGTGTCACAACTATTTTAGGTTAAAGGCAGCATTGACAAGCCAAAACACGTTTAACCACGGAACACCCTCCATATGCCTGTCAGAAGTATCTATTCCAGTGGTTGCCGTTTGTTGCTGACTGCCATAATTGTTTCTCCTATTTTAGCATTAACTACGGTTACTTTAAATTTTGCATAATTTATTTTTATTTACTTATTGCAGTGGATGTAGAAGGAAAACGTGAAGGCACAAATGAGTCATTTTCCTTTTCAACCTTTACGGAAGACACTGTGACCATGGTGACAATGAACACGAGATCTCCAACTGCAGGTAATAATAATATGATATGAAATTTATTCTGGAAATATACGATGTAGTAAACATTTGGATTACATTCAGACATCAAGTCGAAATATATATAGTTACTTCACTTATACTTAAAATGGGGAATGTTGGTATAAAGGGTAGATAGATGGGTTTAAACTGTTGAAAGAGGAAAAAGACCTTGATTGCATGTATTCTAATAGATCTTTTGATTTTTTATACGCAGTATACGAAGTTCGTATTATATTGCTTCCGTGTGAAACATATTCAATTCACAGATATCATCAATCAAGAATGTTCTTGCAAATAAACTAAACCGCATATGATTCTTAAATTTTATTTTGTTAACTGGTTATTGTAAGACAAACTGCGCTCTTGTTTTGAGAGAGTGTTGTATGACAAGCTGAGGACCGGTCTCGGTACTTTTGAAGTTCATTCTATTCCCTCAGTAGTTTCTATTTCTTACTTTAATTTGTCTCTCCCTAATCAATTACGATCATGTAAAATATAACACATCTGATGTTTACCTCTGTAAAATTGTAATGTTTAACAATGATGTAGTTGCTAGAGAGAGGTGACAGATACCGAAGGGACATTCAAACTCATAAGTCAAAAATAAACTGACAACGCCATGGCTAAAAAAGAAAAAGACCAACAGAAAAACAATAGTACACAAAACACAACATAGAAAACTAAAGACTGAGCAACACGAACCCCACCAAAACTCCCGGTGATCTCAAGTGCTCCAGAAGTATAAGTAGATCCTGCTCCACATGTAGCACCCGTCGTGTTGCTCATGTTAGTTTAAACTTGTTTTTTTAGTATCGTACTTTCATTTGACAGAGAACGTCACTGCGAAAACACATGCAACAAAGAAGGAACCTGAAAATGGTGCTCTCCAGAGGAGATCAGTTTTGATATGGATTATTGGCTGCTGTATTATGTCTGTTTGGTCTTTATCTAGTTGAGGATGGTTGATTAATAGAACAGATATATAGTACCAAGAAGAAAACTTTTGCTTTAACTTTATTTAATTTATTTTAGCTCTAGATAAAATGATCACAAAATTGACTTTATATCTTTGATTTTTAAAGAATTAAGCTATAATGAATTGATTATGAAAATCAACAAAATGAATACTTGGGATTTGTTGATTTTTTTTTCTTGTAAATAATGTCCATAGTAGCAGTTATTTTGGTTTTTTTTGGACAAATGACTTTTCAGATATCCTGGTGAAATTATACATGTTGTTTTCTATTTACTGGTTGATATATAAAATAATGAGAGGATGTATGATTGCCAATGACACAACTATAGGTCACCATACGGCCTTAAAATGAGCAATAACCATACCGCATAGTCAGCTATCAAGTGCCCAGATATGACAACATGTGGTTGTCATTTTTACTACATGAGTTTGTACCCTTGGTTTCTTTATCCTATTTTTTTCTATCATAAAACTGGTATTTTTATCATTTTACACACTAAAGGTTTGCAGGTCGCATATCCACAGAATCTACAAAGTCTTGTTTTTGTTTTGTTTTAGAGGGATGTAAAAGCTTTGAGCATACGCATATTTATTGTATGAAGCTCTGACTAGCGTATACAAAAAACGCGCTTTGGCAAACTATTTTATATCACAATAAAAAAAAAACAAAATAAAGCATTCGTTTCCTATATACACACGAGCGTTAATTTTAATGTTAAATTTGTACAATTTACGTTCAAACTCATTCCCCTTTACCTAACCAACATAACACAATATACGTATTTTCAGTTAAGAAGGACACGAATTCACATTTAAAAACAGATATATATTTTGTAAATAAAAAACAGCTTAACTTGTGCTTCTAACATTTTATTTTTTGTAAATTCCAGTGGTTGCCACGAAATGAAATAGGACAAACAGGACCACATATAAATGAGAAAATAAAATTGTATAGACATCAAATCTATAACCAATCAACACGACAAAATCCGTTAGGTGCACAAATCTAATCCGTGCCTGAACACATCACTCAGATTGTACTGTATTCCCACGGTACTCCCAATATAACAATGTTCATATGGAACAACGACACAACAAAGACCGATTATAGAGAAAGAAAAACAATTAACTGCTAAATTAAAACGAAGTTTAAACTCGTGAAAGTGAATAGGGAAAACGTTTATATCCTTATATTTATTTTACTATCATCAGATCAGTTTTGTTCTTTGCGCTATTACATCTCCTGTTTTAAACGGCGATTTTTTTAAGTATTGCATAACGTTATCATAAACAACGTTAATTTTTTAATCAGCCATGATTATCTTACAAAATATAACACATGGTAATTAAAACTTCATTCATTACAATTTTAGAGAATTTGCACCATACATATGTGTGTATGTGTGTGTTATAAAAGCTGCATATGCCATGCCTAAATCTCACCAAAAATTTGGCAAAATGCGTCATCAAGGTATTACGGTCTATTTAAAGTCCTTACAAATGAATTGACTCATTTTGAAATTTCAGAGTTGTTTCATTTGTCTATTAACTGTAACATATTTTTCGCCATATTATATGTCTTACGAATCTTTCATCGATCTTTTTCGTATATCGCACGTCGGTATGATAAAAAATTGCCAACAAATTGAGCTCTTTGCTTTCACATATATACGGTATCATTCCTTTCAATCTTATTATTACTTTCACCAAATAGTGAAAAGATGAGAGTGTACAGATGATTGTTATCATCAGAGCGTAAAAATAAGTATGTTTACACTAAATATGCGCTTGAGGAACAAGTGACGCTAGTAGCATTTCCTGGATCTTCAAAAAAGCACAGGTACCACAACTGCCACCAATTGGGAACTCTCAAAAATGCACCAATAGGAATCAGCTTTAAAACAGTATCGTCTTGATCATTGAGTTTGTTTTAGTTTTCAGAATTATTAATTTATTTACACACTGCAAATGGACATTTAAGGTTAAGCGGTTATAATTATGAATCCGGAATTTCACGAAAAAAAAATTGATGTCCTACGCTCCCTTCATCGACATATACATTATATACTTACTATAGTCATTGGAAGAAATCGATTTTGATACCATGATGATTATTTAACATAAAACAGCACTGAGACCCAACAGTATTAATATGCTCTAAGGCAGTTTATGCAGTATGTTATTAGGAAAAATGTCATTTACGATTCAGTCTTGTTAGAACTGTAAGGGTGTTTTAAAGTAAAAAATGTATTAGTTATTCAATGTGCATACTGACGCTTTGTTAATTGAAAACTGGGCTTCAGGGTTATTGTGAAACTACATACTCTAACTATCCACCAGACACCAGACGACGTGGATGAAAGCAACTGCAGGCCCCGACATAACTTAATGTAAAACAATTCAGACAAGAAATACAACAGCCTGATTTATAATTAAAAAAAAAACAAACAAACAAATATGACAGACAGCAATCAACGATATCCACATTATAACAGACACCTTACTTGTGACAGGAACATACAGAATGAGGAAGAGTAAAAATGTTTGCGAGCACTACTCAACCCGCCACCTTACTGTGGACAGTGGTGTTATAGCACAACAAATGAACAAACTGTATACAAAATGGGGAAGGGCTTCACTCAACAGATTGACACGAAGCACAAAAATAATTAACAAAAAGAAAAAAAGAAAAAAAGTACCGATCTAAGAAGAGTCGCAATTACTGACAGAAGGCTAGTCCAAAGCCAATTACAACTAATGAATAAATCATATCTTCCGAGTCTTAACTATTAATCAGTTCACACCTAACAGGTTTAGTGTAATGAAATCATACACAAAGCGAGATAAGTCAGGACTTTGTGCAATGCATAATTGTCGGTATCGGCAGGATGTTGGACCCAATATATAATAAGGTTCCAACAATTACATCCTTACTTCCTACCAAAGTTTTAGTATCTATGAAAGACGTTAGTAAATGATTTGCGTAGTTTTTGTAACGAAATCCCTGATTTAATCAATTAGCAGTTATACATAGACTAACTATTCGATGCTTGACACGTGACCGAAAAGACGTTGTTGTTTATAAATTCGCACTGAAAACGTTCTTGTAAAGAGTGAAATTATAATAATTTTTTTTTAGATGTTATACAAAAAAAAAACATCCAAAATTGACAAATACCTGTGAAGGTCGTCTACTGAAGTTATCTCGGGATGGATCTAACTTCAAACCCAGTTCTCAACAAAATATGCCTTTTTACAAGTATTTAAAAACAATGTTATTTACAATCATGGTAAATGATATACGGGCTTTCTGTCATAGGCATACCTTTTCATAGGACCGGTCAAAAACAGACCTGTCTATATGTTTGCTCATGATCAAATCTTACCTGAGGACCGGACAAAAGGAAACAGAGTTGAACCAGTCCTAAAAAGGAAGACTTGGGTCTGGTCTGTCACAGATCGAGCTAACTTGATTATCAACTCCAGGTATATTAAGTATTGGAGCGATTCGTCGTCAACGAAGGCGAAATACCTCAAATCAGCTACTACAGTTGCTATCATATGCATTGTTTTTATTGCATCAGAACTTTTAAACCTTTTTTTCTTCATCAAGTATGCATACAGCGGGGATTTTGCCTATTCGGAAATTTGGTGGTATATCTTCGCCAACATTAGACCAATTAGTTCACAGATTGGATGTTCGATCAATTGTTTTGCGCATTTGCTCATAAGTCAACAGAATATTTAGAAAACAACTTGGAAGAATTGGTAGATGTTCAAAAAAGACAGAGAAGAAAAGCAACTCATCTGAAATAACTCAATAAACGTTTCAAAAACATAAAGTAGAAAAGCAACTCGTTCGAGATAAGCAAATAAACGTTCAATACATTGTATGTTTTGGTAATCCTGTAACAAATATATTCAATAAATATTCATTATTACACTTTGTGATTTTTGATTTTCAGCAATGCAAACAAAATATCATAATAATTCTACATAGAATTAACTCATATTTTGTACAAGGAGTGCAAATCAATCTTGCTGTAAGCTTGGTAAATGTTGGACAGGAAATGGAATCGACGAAAAAGAATACGTGGTTTTTTGCAATCAAGTCCTACAAATTTTGAAACAATAGCCTCCAAACATTCTGGTATGACTATATTACTATTAAGGATGTGCACATCACTCTGTGTACTAAATTGAATAATTTTTGCAGATTTTGTTGAAAATAAGTCAATTGTCGGAGACTATCTGAATTGAGAAAACCCATTTTGGATATTTTAATTCTCCTACATTTAAGGGAAAGACGATGACAAGAAACAATGAAAAAGACAACACCATGGTCACAAGAAAAACGATGAAAAGATAACTAACTTAAGAAACTTTAGATAGAATTACACAAACCCAATCAAAATCATGATGAACCTCAGGTACCGCGGAAGGATAAGCAATTCCTACTTCACTAGTGGCGAACGTCATTATTTTTTATAAAATGTAAAAAAAAATATTGGTAAGAAGGGTTCGGGGATGTCACAACCAAGAATAAAATGGTGGCTACGAATAGACAAATACCCGTTGTCATCTGTAACACTGGAATTACTACGCGAATTTCATTTTCAATCGATATTGCAGATCAGCTGTTGCTCGTACTGATGATGTTAAATAAAGGCAACAGTAGTATACCGCTGTTAACACTTAGTTTGATATTTGGTTATTTGTGACGTCGCTTTCATATTTTATTAAGCTTTTGAATTATTTTATTCTTTGATGCCAGTTCTTGCGGAAAACGTTAAATGTTGTATCCATAGACAAATCCCAGCGAAACTTACTATTTCTTCTTGTCTGTATGCCTCAACTTAAAGGTCCATATATGTAGTCCTTTGTGCTTTAAGTATATATTCACCTTCCTTTCTTTATTTGAGGTATACAGTGATTTCGGTTGAAACTTGATTTGACCTTCCCTCGGTAGATTGCTCTGTGCATAAATTATAAAATTTTACACACACACACACACACATATATACTGTAAACCAACTAATTTTCGCGAGCGAGCGATTTATTTTCGCCATTGAATTTTGATGTT